ATGTGACATTTATTTTTGCACATTCTCAGGCTATAGATAGGGCTCAACCTCGACTACTTATTCAAATAAGAGCTCTTAATCTATTTTCTAGATCGAGATATACACATCACAAATTCCACTTTTACATACTTATCGCTTTAAACTGTTTTTAGAGCTTTACGAAAAATTCTATAACCTTTCAAGGGAGTAAGTCAACAAATTTCGGGAATCATCCTGAGTATGTTGTCGCTATCTCTATGAAATTTTGTTCAGAAAAATCGGACATCGAGTGAGCAACTTGTGCTTCAACCGTGCAATAGCTCCTAAGAATAGAGAAAATCATTGTAGATTACCTCAGACATAGCTGGTTAAACGATAGAATAAAAAGTACAGACACCTACTCTTTCTCATCGCCGACTACACTTTTGTTGATCGCACGAACAAAAGTTTCAAACACATTTTAAGTTGTTTGTTGCACATAAACATGTTGTACATCCTCCACTTTTACATGAACATGCAATAACTGTCACTGGAGATGGCGTAATTCCTTTCATAATCCACTTAACACTGAACATCCCATTATATATTTCATACCCATGTCCTGCACCTATCGATAGTTGTGTATTCCTGAACCACATTTGATAAGCAACAGCAGCTCTGGCAAAATGCAAATAAGCTGCATCTGATGTCGGCGGTAGAGTTTTCAAACTTTCTATTTGATCATACTTGATTGTTGATTTCTTGACAACATTCAAACGATGTTCATCCAAAGTTGCAAATTTAGATTTCAAAACATCTAGCAATAAACGTTCACAATCGTGTGAAACTTCATTCTTTGTAGGTAGTGTCATCAGTTCTTTCAAATTCTTGTATTTCATGGGGTTGTTAAAATAAGTGTTGACTACTGATGTTTTTGTTATGCCTTTTATGCACGAGGTGTAATCACTTCCACTGAGCGCGTGTAATAAACTGAATATTTCAATGTTATCAATTTTGTATTTTTCTTTCATGAGATCGTGCAGCTTCGAACAGTCAGTATATCGTGTGATGTTTTTATCACGATACCTGTAGCAGTTCTCAACGAGCAGATTTCCAACTACTTCCGGGGCTTTAATAATTGCCAATACTATTAAGTCATTTTGCTTTGATTTGATTAATACAGAGGATGATTCAAAACCGTTGATTTGTATCAGAGAGTGGGCAATTAATCTGATGCTGATGTCATGTTGTTCAACTATAATATTCTGTACAAACTGATGCTGAGAATCAGATGTTAATAGAAATAAACATTTATCAGGACAAGACACCATCACTAATTTGTCAGCAGGAATCTTGAACGTGTTTGAAGACTCCCATAGCTGACAGATGCATTGACCAATTACAAGACGGTTGTTTTTAATAATAGCAGCCCATTCGGTCAGTTTTGGCATTCGGAAACTTCCTTTCAGTTCCTTTATTTATAATTTATTATCTTGTTCATCCTTTTGCGTGATGTCGTGTAAACAACAATCGCTTTCATGCGAAAAAATAATGTCTATTCGATTGTAAACTGACATGACTGGCATAATTTTTTCGGTAAACATGTTAAGAGCATATTGTTCATACGTGTTGGAGCGCGGCTGTTCAGCTAAAGAAAACAAAAGTTTGTATAGTCTTAAAAATTTGGTTCAGCGTGTGTATAAATCCGACAGGGGTAGAAGAGTCTTACGAGGAAACCTTGCGAGGTGATGTTTCGCTTTTTGATGGAAATCTAGTGGGTTATAGGTTATCGACCATGCTGATTCCGAATATGACCATGGGGGTTGCCCAATGCCCTTCAAAGATGCGGTCTTCTGGAAAACCAGTTTTTCAGAAACTCTAGAAAATAACCCAAACCTTTCTTAACAATACAGGACTGTAGCCTGCAAATTTCTGATCAAAATGAGACATCCCCCAGCTCTACACGACCTTTCTTTGCAAAGTTATAGAATTTATAAGAAGAGTCCTAAATTGTTCATTGTTAGCTCAAAGCTACAGAAATAATTAATTTAGGACTCTTATAAATTCTATAACTTTGCAAAGAAAGGTCGTGTAGAGCTGGGGGATGTCTCATTTTAATCAGAAATTTGCGGGCTACAGTCCTGTATTGTTAAGAAAGGTTTGGGTTATTTTCTAGAGTTTCTTAAAAACTGGTTTTCCAGAAGACCGGATCTTTGAAGGGCATTGGGCAATCCCCATGGTCATATTCGGAATCGACATGGTCGATAACGTATAATCTACTAGATTTCCATCAAAAAGCGAAATATCACCTCGTGAGGTTCCCTCGTTAGCCTTCATCGCGTGAGACAGTGTATATCGATTGCTGTAAAGTCATGCGAGTCCGATACATTCTGCCCTTTTCTAGGAAGTATATAAAATTGACAACCACTTACCTATTAAAGCATTACCATCTAATATCATAACTAATGGTTTTTGTTGTATAATATTCGTGATTGCACTGGGAAAATATTGTGTTAAATAAGAAATAATATTAGATTTTTGCTGAAATGTGATATCATTTTTGTTCATGAACGAGAGAGGTGGTTCCGCAAACTCATGTTTGAATATTTTTTCTAGACTTGCTTGCGGGCGAAATATACTGCAGTGAATCAATGTCCTTAATAATTTTTCATTAGTTTCTTTAGTTGTTTTTGTTATTGTTTTGGGTAGCGCAGTCGTTGTATTTAATAGACGAACATTTCCTTTGCTGATTGTTGTAAAGATCGATGTTTTCTTTCCGACAACATGTTGATTAATGAAAGAGTTGGCAACATCTAAGAATTTTGTCGATGCCGCACATAGTTCGTTAACAATGTCCACTGAGATTACCATCCCGCTTAATATCTTATGAAAATCCTTTGTTTGTGAAGTGAACGGGTTGTCTGTTCTTAATATCATCAGCATCGAGTTCAAATCCTGATTGTCCATAGCGATTCTTGACTGAGTGGCTTGTACATGTGGATTATTTGACAGTTTATTATTTGCTAACTCGTCCACAACTATTTTGATTTCAGCACACCATGGTGATGTTAACGCCCAGGCTGTTCGGAGGTCACAATCCGTGTGACCTGTTAATCCGGCTGATCCCTGTTTGAAAGAAAAAGAATGTTGTGCAACTTGTTGTGCACTACTTAACTAAATTCACTACTTAACGAATCATGCAGAAAAACTATTTAATAGCTAAAAATCATATTTTATTCTATCGAAGTGCTGAGCAGCAGATATTTTTATGACTTCCAATAATTTTAATGTTACGAAAAAACGGCAAATATTTATTTTAAGAAAAACATATGACTAAAATCTAGGCAAAATTCTCTATTTCTTAGCCTCAAAAGAAAGTTTTCTGATTAAATATTTAGCTTGAAAAAAAGTCGGCAATTTAATCTGAACCACCCGTTAGTCTGAGACCCACAGACTGAAGAAAGAAAGAATATTTTTATTTCTTGCTTGAGAACATAGATGGATTAAGTTTTCACACAATGAAAAAACCGTTTGATCTAGAATGCAATGTCCCGATAACAGGGCATGATTTGGGTGCTTGAACTTTTTCTTACCGACTTCGTCGTGACCAGAAGACAAAAACAGAATCTGACTTGGAACAGAATAACTTTCGGCTACAGAAAAAAACGGATTTGGAAAAATTACTATATTTTTATCACAAGATGCCATATATCCATTGTAATTTGAGCTCGCCGTGTATTCGATGTGAAGAGTGGCTGAAGAACATTTTGAGCAACAACATTAATATCTGTATTTGTCATAGTAGCTGCGGTAACAATCGGGTTTCTTTGATCTTAAAATACAATGAATCAAAAATTTCCGCATTAGTGCGAAACTAAATTAGATTTAGTCCTACTTATTTCTCCAACATTGTGATCCATTTCAGGATAGTCATCCTCAGCACTTCCTAGCTCATTATCAAATGATTGTTCCGTTTGTTGTCTCTGCTGTTGCTGCTTTCGTTCTTAAAAAAGAAGTACAAAGTAATGCAAAAGGTCCTGGTTATACAGCGCCTAAATTTGTTTGAATGTACCCAAACGTAGTTTTCTTAATCGATATTTTGAATAACATGCACAGTGAAAGTTAGCACCGATCAAAGACGAATGTGCTTTTAGCTCTTCAAACACCGGTTCAATTTCAAGACGAAACTTCTGTTCTTGTATATTTGTATTTATAGTTCTATAATTGTGTCGACTTCCTGTGGCTTGTATTGCATAAAACGCAATCATAAGTAAATGATAGTGTCCGTGTACCTTTTTTCTTGAGAGGCATCTAAAAAAAGAAAACCAACAAACGGAAACACCGTGGGAAGCGTAAAGCGTCTTGCTGACAATCAAACAATGTATTCTTTTATTTTTTTTTAGGGTATTTAACAATGTGGTTATAGTGAACACGGTCTATTATTGACAGATTTACATGAACAATATTATGAGTTGCTGTGTTTGCCAAAATTTAGTATTTTTTTTCCTCCTGACTGATTTTCAAAAAGCTTGAACTACTTGTCGATTTTTTTGTACGAAAAAGGTTTATATATAGCAATAAAATAAATGGAAACAAAAAGAATATATATGTATAGTCTGAATAACAGGATCGATTCAAATAAAAAGGCTTTATAGAAAAACCGATAAAACTATATCAACATTCGGCTTATCATACAAATTAAAACAATCATCATTGTCAACGCTCGTTTAACCAAATTGTTTCCGACATTCTCAATTAGTTTTGGAATTGACCGAAGGTTAAAGCTCGGGAAGAGAATCGATCCGAGCTAAAAGTGGGATAAAACTACTTTTTCTTTTTTACAGACTTGGAAATTTAGTTAATTCAGTTATACTTGATCACCAAAAGTGGCTGTCTGGAAAGTAGACAGACCTCAGTTCTTCCATTTAGATGATTTTTATTTCACGAGAAGCTCTCAACAACAATATAAATTTTACTTTTATTATTACAGAAACATACTTAAAAAAAGAGCAAAGCACAAAGATACATACAAAAAAATGCTACAAATGGACAATATTGACCATTTCGCTATCTCCCAATCAAAAATTGTGTTCTTCTATAATATTACTCTAAATGGAACACAAAATTCAAATAAGTTGAAAAAAGGAAATCAAACGATGCTCGCGCGCTTGCCTTCCATATGTCTTACAGTAGCCACGGAGATCACCTCGAAGAATGCATACTGTGAACATAGTGCATAAGTGTGTATGTTTCATATCTGATAAACCACTGCATTTCAAAGAAAAGTGTCCGGCAGTTATACTTAGAAAGATTATTCCAGCTTATTAAACTAGGTAACACCTTTCTTCTGTGACTTTTTGTCACGTCCACTAATGCCATTAAATTCACTTTCTGAACACCTTTTCACTGGCTTGCGACCTAATGATTAGTTAGGCTCCCAGCGAGCGCCGACCGAAGAGAGGCGTGAGCATTGTCTTCGATTTAAAAGTCACCAAAGGGTGTTCGTTTGCGCAGATCCAAGTTAATAAAGTCAAGGGACCGAGCGAGTGGAGACGAGCGTTACCCTGTCTTCTTTTAGCCGAAAATAAGTGGTTAAGATACGCTAGGACTGAATAATGGTAGGACTGAGAGTGGAAATTTCTGTCGTCCATTATAGACATGTGCCTCTATATAAAAATTAAATGCAGTATAGACACGATTTTTCAGCTTATTAAAGTGTCGATGATTAGTAAACATAAGCATTGCATTTGGAAGTGATGAATTTTCAAAGCGAAGTGGCGCTATGGTTCGGTAGGTGGCGTACTCGCATGGCATAAAAAACTCTGAATTTTGTTTTTGGTCAACACTATTGAGAGTCAATTCTCGTTCAAGGAAAAGGAGTTATTTTGAATTTAAACGGTGAGATGCAGTTGTTGATTGCATAATCTTGCCGAGCAGATAGCGTAAAATGAGTATCGTTACTTTGGGCATATTCGCAAATAATTAAGACTTTTGAGAAATGATCGTAAGTGAAGAGTTTTTCCATCCCTTATTAACCCTTTCTTGCCCTATGGCACCTATAGGTGTCATTTTATAAAAATTTAGTTCACTTGAGCTATTAGACATTTAGAAACAGATTTTATATCAACTGAAAGCCTATCTATTGTGGACTTCAAATCAACAATCTGAATGTAATCTTTATCATAAAAATATTTTTTTTGACTTTCACACGGATTTGGTTCAAACCTTTCCTGTGTATAGTATATTAGAGGCCATAAGACTGATGCTATTGAGCGAGTTGTCCTTCAGAACCGTCAGGTTTAGCCAAAGGCAAGAAAGGGTACGCTTTGTATTATATTATCTCGGTTTTCGAAATTTTTATTTCTCTCTTTCTCTTTTATTTCTAAAAATATTCGAAAAACTTATAAAGAAAATTTGTAAAAAAATATCACATCAGAAAAGTAATTACAAAGCTCCAGATACATCCACTAGAAAAAATTTGTACAGAAAAATATGAAAAGAAAATTACAGTATGAAGAGAACAAAATATCTGAAAATGATGTTCTCAGATAATTAAATACCATAGAAATTGATTTCATTTGAATTGCTTAGCTTTAAGTTCAATAATAATCTTGTCAATCATCCAGTTCTTGCCACGGTTGTGATTACGAACTGAATAAAAATAAACAAGGATTTATACAAGATTTAAGTGATGCTCCGAAAAGTCCCTTTCCTTCTTTTTTTTAGATGCTTCATAAGATATTCAATCTTCGAAAACTTACTGTTCGCTAGTACTGGAAGCTTTTTCGGCGTGAGCAGTTGTTGTTGTAGCTCGGTTACTCACTAAAAAAAAGCAAAACAATGCCGAAATGATTAAGAAAATTTTAACCAGACTGTTATGTGTTCCTCCGAGAGTTTTAAAGGTAGAACGCTTCCAGTTTGAAAAAATCAACAAATGTGGTTAATTTACCAACTTCAGTGAACTATATTGTTTATTTTCTTTCTGATCTTACAGATGAAATTTCTTTTCTATAACTTAAGTATAAAGTATGATGCTGAATGGTTGTGATGGTCTTTTCTGCAAACTGGAACTTACCATTTAAGGCTTCGTACACGGCAACTATTTTTGGTGATATGCTGAGAAGGACTTCAATTGAATTCATTGGAATCGGTGTTGTTTTGACCTACGGATATTCATCTGAATTGATCCAACCACCACCTTTACCATTTTTGACGATAACGATAGAATCACTAAATCTTGTTGTAATAATCATATCCGTTAAACGATAATTACGCTTAATTTTCGTTTCATTTTCTTCTGGAGTACATTGTAGATTAATAATACTAAAATTATTTTCTTTCTCAGTATAAATAACTAATATTTTTTCCGGTAATGATGTGTAGAATTGTTCGCTAATCGTCAATACGGTATCATTGATTGCTTGATTGCATGACATACATGTTTCTAAATTTTTTTCTTTTTCTAAAGAATGGGCTTCGGTTGATTTTGATGGATCGTAAATGAAGAGATGTACACAAGCTGTGTCTAATTGTAGTCCATTACAATCGCCACAAACGGGACATATCTGGTTATGATGTACATCTAAACCAAAGAATGCGTCCACATTTTCAGATATTGTTAGTAGAATTAAACTTGTAGTGCTATCGACTAATGTTTTCTAGTTTACTCTAACAGGATACAAGTATGTTACGTGAACAGTCATGCCTTTTTCGAAATTAGAGTTTTTTGAGATTAATCCAGAAATGTGTAAAGTAAAGGTAAGCTTTTCCACCCTCTCATGAATCCATTAATATCGTTTCTGCTGTGCACTCGTTCTATCCCATTGCTTCAGTCCAACCAATTCATAAACTAAGAGTTAAAAAAGAAAAGAACAGTTTCTTACAAAATTGAAAATTTTGGATAATGCGTTGGATTTGTTCTATGCCACATTTTTGTAAACTAATTAGAGCATCATTTAACGAATTAAAAAGATGTGGGCGTATAATATTGATATGACAACTAATCACTTGGAGAAAGGCTTGTAGATAATCAGATTGTAATGTTCTTAATGTTTCCATGACGATGATACGTGCGGTTGAATAATAATTTAGAATTATGCCATTCTTTCATCTTTTTTCTTTCTTTTAAACTTGTCGTCCATGTTTTCGAATGTCGTACAACTCCAACAATATTGTCCAAATTAGTAACATCTCTCCAAGATAAATAGCTAACAAGATCGTAAGTTGCAGCGCTACTTAAACAAATATTTGAATTGATTGCATAGTCAGCTAATTCAACCTTGACTGGTGGTGGTTGACCTGGATTAATCGATGTAACATAGTCTGTAATAAATAATAACAGAACTGGTGACCATTTTGTAACTCGAATTTGTTTTTCATAAGATAATTACATTTTGGACATTGTTTATCTGGTTGCGCTGTATGAAAAAAGTCATATAATTCATCTAAGATACGTATTGTGTTTTTTGTTTGTTAATTATGTTGCATCATATACTACATTTGTCTTAAATGTCTCTATACATTTTGAGCTTTCAAAATAACATACACACTCAATCCTTGCTGATGTAAGTCGATTGATTATTGGATATACGACCTATAACATTTATGTATTACATGAGGTATATATGCTAATTTTAAGTACACTGAAAAACGGCTGTTAATATAGACATATCAGCTCTTTTTTACCAAAAAACGAACGTGAAAACGAATTACTCACATGTTGTAAAAGTTGCCAATTGACACATTAGTTTTTCAACATTTTTGTAAACTTCAGTACAGCTTATTTTAAATCCAGAGTTCATTGTTTCTAGCATGACTTTTTCATTAAATATAACACATTTGTCATCATTGTCTGTATTCGCATCTTCGTTCATTTCAATCTGAGTAATATCTTCATTTCAAAATCATAAGGACCTTTTGCTTGAGCCTGAAAATATAGAAAATTGTGCCAAATAGAAGAATTTTTTTAGTATTAGTGAGGAATAGAAGAGACGAAGCCGTAAGTCTAAGTTGAAAGAGTAAAAAAACAGTCTAATACATGGCTAAAAAGCGATTTAATAAACAGACAACAATATCCGGATAGTTCTTCCATCTAGTTGTTTAAAGTTTCATACATACAAATCTACTTCTAACGTCCTTACAAAATGTAATTCCAAGTGTTAAACGCTGAGTGGAACAATACACATGGACGACCATGTCGTGCATAGCAACATTATTTTATAACTTCAGTATATTAACTTTTGGTTTTTTCAATATTTACAAATGGAGAGATCGAGCAGTATTGGAAGTTGTAATTTTTACTTTTTTGAACGTTTACAAAAGAGGTTCTGTTTAATACATACTTCGCTATTTCCATTTTGATAACTTGCACGTTCATCTGATTCGGATTGCGTTTGATCGTTGTTTTTGTCTTGTAATGATGTTTGTTGACTCGATGGACTTTTTCTTTTCAGTTGCGCTATTTGTTACTTAATATTTCATAAAAAGCTATTGAAAATGGGGTTGTAAAATAATTCATGAATATCTCACAGATCAGCTGCCAATTTTCTAACATTTCACTCCACAGGCCTGTATTTATTAATAATGATAAACACCACATAGCCATTTCACGAAGTTCATCAATTACCAGTTTGTTCACGATTTTCTTTCTAAAGTGACAGTTCACATGTGCTACACACGCATGAATTATTGTTTTTGAACGATCTCCATCATTAATCACACCATTAACCGTTTTAAATGTTCGTTGTAAATATTCTTGATAACTTTCATTTTGAACTGATGGAGGCTTGCTCCAAGCAGAACGTATGAGCGATCGCTAATTGCTACATCGCCTAAACTATGATAAAATTCATTTATGACAATGATAAATGTCAGTGAACAACGATAACGTGGATCGCTGATAATAAGCGAAATTATTTATTGAAATTATTACTATTATAAGTCAATTGTGAGTTGTTAGAGCGTATCCGTCTTACTTCAGAACAGAAAAACCTGAGACAGTATGAAACAACTTGTTTTAAGACGGATGACTTATGAATGTTATCTCGGTCCTATAACAAATCTTTTACGAAGGATTACCTTAATAGATGGGGCCTTTGATAGTACCTGAGCAACGTCTGTCTATATGGTATTCGTAGCCTATTTATCATAAGAGAAAGCGTGAAGAATTCAATATATCTCTTGCGAACCAACTTCAAATTCAGTCAAATTTAAATTTCTCCGGACAAATTTAAAATCTGACCGAATTTGAAGTTTGTTCGCAACATATCTTTGAGAAATTTTCTGTTCTTTGTATATGCAGGCACTGAATGCAAAACGAAAATGATTTCTTTTCTTGTAACGCTTAAAATAAGGTCTTTATTATCAGTATCTAAAGATGCCGAGTAAGATTTCGAATCAAATAATCAACGCAATTGGCTTTGGTTGAGTTTTTGTTTCACGCTTATGCTAGAAATCACACTTACATTAACTCGGCCTCGTTGAGATATTCCTCCACTGTATTTTTCACGATAGATGAAGCATGCACAGTTAAATGTTGTTTCGTATGACATTCATAAATAAATAATTCCATATCATCCGCATTCACAATAAATTATTTCGATATAAAACTTGGCTTAATTCAATAAGCTTATTTCAAAACGGAAAAAATGAGTGACATTCTCTGAGCCTCTTAATGTGAGAAAAGCTTTTATTTCTTTTAAAGATAGGTTTTCTTTGCTAACACAGTTGAATTGTAGAAATCAATTAAGTACGCTAATCATACTGTCATTAGAGAACAGGAGTGTCATATGTCCCTCGTTGAGAGTTTCAGGAAAATTCACAATCGAACTCATAGCTCAAGCTGGATTTTGATTCATGTAGATATCCATCACAAACTTTAGAAGCTTAAGTTCTTGCGTTATGGATGATAAACACATTAAGAAGATAAAAATGCAACTTGTATAGTTAACAAATGCAATCAGTGGGGGTATGACCTATACGGTCAATGTACATAACCCAAGAATCAATGTACAAAAGAATTATTATCTCAGAATGTTTTACTTACAACTTTATCGAAATTAGATTAACTAATTACTTCAGATAACGATGATCCACCATCTAAAGTGATGATCTGAAGTTGTACTAATGCTTTATTTGTTGCAATTCGACCTTGATCCGTATTTGTTAACGAGATAATTGGTAATTTAGATAATGTTTTGTCTTTCAGATATATGTGAAAAACCTAGAAAGAGGATCGGTAGTGCTAAACAATCAGATGTCTGAGTACAGTAAAACCTCCCTTAGTGGACACTCCTCTATAGTGGACACCTCCTTATAGTGGACACCTTGAGGTCCGACGGAGCATTTTTTGCTGGATTTAAACCTCTACATAGTGAACACTCTCTTTAGTGGACACCTCCCATAGTGGACACTTTTTTTCAGTCCCTTTCATACCAAATACCTCTCTGTAGTGGACATTGATTTGGGGTATTCTCGTTTCGTCGACAAATCGGCCACTTCAAA